CGACATCGCAAGCAGCATGCCAGCGGAGAAGCAGTTGGCCATCGACAACGGCCGCGACACCGTCGCAAACTGTGGGCGCGAGCGGAGCGCCACGTCCTCCCTGCCGCGCTGCAGACACCAGAAGGGCGCCCACAGGCCCAGCGCGCTGGCGGCGGTGAGGGCGGTGGCCGCCAGGAACTTCAGGAACAGCAGATTGTCCATCGCAGGCAGCTATAGGCCACACACCCCACGTTCCTCTATGCCACGGCAGACAATATTTTTGTGTGTGCGTGTGTGTGTAAGGGAGAGAGGGGAGAGAGGAGACATTTTATGCGCACGCACAAACGCAAAGGGGGAACTGCGTCCAAATCGGGGCCCAAGTGAGCGGGATCTCATTCTCCGGTGCCGTTTCCTCGACCCCTCCTCGGGCCGGAAGAGGGCGCAGGGAAGGTATGCACATCGGAGAATAGCCGGAGAACAACAACAACAACAACAAAAAAAAAATACCAGGTGGTGTGGGCGGGCCAGGAAAGAGATGCGCGTTAAACCAATGAGCGGTAAGGGAGGAAGAACTGAAGGCAAGAAACGCCACACCTGCGGCACACACGCCCACACGCACAGTTAGACACACACACACATATGTATATATATATATATACAAATAAATATAAATATGCACATTTGACACCGGCGAGCTTCCTGCGAGGACCGTAGCAGACCGGCCCTCAAGCAAAAGGTGACAAGACGCCGCAAGCCCAGGGATGGAGAAAAATAGAGATAGAGAGAGAGAGAGAGAGAGCGAGGGAGAAAGTCCCACTGTCCGAATCCCCATTCCCACCCCCGTCTCCCGTGTGAATCTGGGAGAAGGCAAAAGGTACAGCAATGTAGGAATAGACGAGATAATATCACCCTGGTGGAAAAAGGCGCTGCTGAGTGGGCCGACAGACCCGGTGGTTTGTTTCTTTCTCTTTTGTTTTTGTTTCGTTATGTGCCTCTTTTCATGCGGCATCATTCGCGGCTGCGCTTCCCGTCTGCCATGATCGGTCGGTCGAGATAGAGCTCCTTGAAGAGCACGCAGAACAGCACACAGTAGCTGCCGTACATCACGAGACCCATGCGGAGGCTCGTGTGGTCGTACTCGCAGTTCCCCACCACGTAGGTTTGGTACGCCGCAAATGAGATGATGTACGTACCGGCGAACATCTGCAGGATCTGCAGCGTTGTGATGAGGGGCGCGATGGGGCGGATGGAGCGGCGGTACCCCAGCGACACGAGCGCGTAATAGAGGTACATGATGGAGTGTGCCGTGTAATTCATCACGGCAAAGAGGAGGACCGCTGGGGCAACCGTGTACGACGCATGCCAGCAGAAGAGCGCTGTCGCGAGGTGGTGATACCAGTGCAGGAATGACACCGGCCGCTTCTTTAGCACCAGGAAGAGGGTATCCAGCAGCTCCGGGGTCTTGCTATACGCGAAGACGACGATCCAGAATACGACAGTGCCGCGGTAGCGCCCGTCAAAGACGCAGCACGTGTTCCGCAGCCCCTTGGTCTGCAGCGTACTGAGGGTTGGTGGGACGAGCGCCCACGTGCCGAGCGTAGAGAAGATACTCAGGGACAGGTTCCATGCGAAGGTGACGTAGCGCAGCGAGAAGGGCTTGCGGTTCTCCATAATCTTTGGGAGGCGAAACACCACCCACAGGTATATCACCGTCGCGTAGGCGCCGTAGTCGGGGTAACTGTCGATAAGCCACGCCGCATCTTTTTCGCTGAAGTTCTGCGGTATGTGGTAGATATACTGGGCGGTGTCGTACACCCGCGTGCAGGCGTCTGTTAAGAACTCCATGTGTGTGTGTGTTNGTGTGTGTGTGTTCCGTCAAACGTGTCGCTGTATGTATTGTACCTTCTAATCACTTCTCTGATTGCCTATTTATGTGCAACCGCAGCGCATACAAATGGCACGAAGACCGTTGCCGGCTTTTTTTTTCTGCTCCGTTCTTCCCTTGAAAATCTTCTTTGCGCGCCGCCACTACTTACGCTGCGACAATCTCCGACGTTGTGGGTGAGCGAGGAACCTGGAAGGAGAGGGAGAGGAAGAAGAAAAAAAAAAAACATCAGAGAGCAAGGCGCACAGATGCATTCACACACACCCGACTGCCTCTCTAAGATTCTCTTCACTGCATGTGTGTGTGTGTGTGTGTGTGTGTAAGTAACATATTGGACACGCGGAGAAGGGCAGAGGGGCACCGCATCTCCCTTCGGTGCCTCTCTACATGTATATATATATAGATATATGTATATGTGTGCATATAAATATGCGTCCGCGCGTCTGTCTGTCTGTGTCTGCTTGCTCGTATGTCGCCGTTTTGATTGTGTGCGCGCGAAGTGCGATTGCCCCACCACCCGCTTCGGCTGCGCGAGGAGAGAAGCGGCTGGTGGGGCGAGCGCCCTTCGCGCGCACACCTCCACCCACGTATACACATCCAAGGCGTTGTACAGTACATTCCGCGTCAGAGGAGGCCGCAGACACAACAGGAGGAAAAGAAAACGAGGGAGCGGAGAAGCGGGGAGAGAACGGAGGCAGCCGCAACGACGGAGAGTAGAAACAGAAAAAGAACAAGAACGGCTCACCCCACCTCCCTCCTTCCCGCCTCCGCCCGCTCGCTCTCTCTCTCTCTCACAAACACACACGGTGTGTGTGTGCGGATGTCTGCCCTTCAGCTGAACGGCGTCCACTTCTTGTCGACGCGCTGATTCATCGCACGCTCCGCGGCCGACGTGTCGGTGATGGCGGCGCGCAGCATGGACCCCTCCACCGTCGTGCATATCGCCGCCTCGCCCTTCGGCGGCAGCTCCT